AAGGTGCAATGAGTCACTCTCCTGGAGGTTAGCATCAGCCATGGAAGACAAAGAGGGTTCTCTCACATGATTAATGGAGAAAAGTTTAGTTTTGGAGTCATTAAAATTATGAATGATTGATTTGTTTTTAATGACTTATCAACCTTTTGGGGTTTATTTAAGGCCAGAGAATATTTGAAGATTGTAAAAAGTTTTTGAGACAATAATGATTTACTGATACAAGCCCTATTTAACCCATAGTCAGGAGAGAAGAGGTAGAATCATACCTTTTACCCAGGGAATTTGCACATATAACAAAGTCAACCAAAATTGGAACTTGGCTATTTGATTTCAAATTCCAAGCTGTTATCCAGTTCACCACCTGCAACATCAAAGCTTACAGCACTTGGTATTCCCAAATAGTCACCCATCTAGATACTGACTATGCTCAATGTTGCTTATCATCATCATCATCATCATCATCATATTATTATTATTATTGAAGATAGCAGCATGCTAATGAAGTGCCACTAAAGTACAAATATATGAGACCCATTTTACTTATCAGGACATCTACTCTGAAAGGGTATAACAAGGATATGCATCATAACCAAATATGGTAACAAGTTTTATTAAAAACAGCACAATTTTAGCTGGAGGGCATCAATGCAGCTCTTTTACAGGAACACAGTGTAGAACACAATGAAAAATGTTGGTTGGCTGAAAGTACCTGTGAACAGATGCACATCCAAATTTAGGATGGGAAGAGTCACCAGGATAATTATCCTACAATGATGGAGTTCTGCATCATGTTAAAGACCATTGGCCTTTTGCAGGATCAGACAGACCCATGTCAGCTTATGAGGAAATCTTCCTGAGTATAAGCATGGTAAATGAGCATATAGAATTGACCAATGGAATCAGGGATAATCATCACGAAATTGAAGAACACTTTTCACAAACATGCACCAAAGAGGTTACCCACATGCAATTCCTGTGATCAGTTCAATGGAGAGTATCATGGGAGGACTTGTGGACTCACCCAACAATGCCTGGTGATCATTTTCAGTTCAAGTGACACTATGCTCCATCAAATTATCACCTTCCTCAGTATCATTGCTAATTACAATGTTACAGTCTGTACATTATCAAACCTATATTGATTCTAGCAATTTGGTACAGTTCATAGTACACCTATATGGAGACAATTCTAAACTTCACATACCATATCTTTCTCTGTTCACTTACAAGATCCTGTTATTTGTTCATATTTCCACTATGTATATTTGGACTATTGCTCTCATCTTTATTGTTGTTATCACAACATTTCGACCATTGTACCCTTTGGTCTTCATCAGGAGTATATTGATTTAGGTAACTTACAGGGAATTTTGAACTGAACCCTTTATTTAATCTAGGAGGTGTAGATTGTTCTTATTCAACTGCCAATGTCTAGAGATAACATAAAAGATATATAAATGGAGGAAACGTGATAACAACAATAGTCTGAATGTAAATAATGATAACTCTTCATCCCAGAAATTCAGACAGAAATTGTTCATATTTCATCTTAGTATAAGGTTATATTATTTTCTGAATCATTATACTATATAAATGTAATAATAATAATAAAAGCAGACTCCGCTTTCATTAATATATTTGCTCTGTTCTTACATTGAGCTCTCTTTGGATTTATATCCTTGGAATTATCCCTACTAATTATCAAGTGATATTATATATATATATATATATATATATATATATATAGATAGATAGATAGATAGATAGATAGATAGATACTCTTCTTTACAGTTGGAATTAAGATATTTTATGACTTGGTATTGAAATGTTGAAAGGTTTTTTGTTCAACCAGCAAATAGTTTCCAACAAAATCTTCATGCTTGTCCATTTGCCCAGATTTTGGGAAGTGGATTGGGGTCAGGAACTTTCCAGCATTATATATATATATATATATATATATATATATATATATATATATATATATATAATGTGTGTTTGTGTGAATAGAGAGCTTAGGAATTTACATGTGTCAAAAAAAAATTGTATCTGCAGGAAAAGAAGGAGATTTTCTGATTTAAGTTATTTTAGATCAATATGTTTACCAAAGTTAGTATCAACAGTTTGCCTTGTTGATAATCCTATCAAATAAATGTCCTTTTAATTTCTAACTTAATGAAGTTATTCTCCTTTAGTATATTTTTGTCTTTATTTAATTCAATCATTACTTTTTAACCTTCAATCAAAATTGATGAAATTTCATTCTTTGAGACAAATCAATAGTAACAAATTAAAAATTAACAAAGTAACAACTACATGATGTCTGCTTTTAACAAAAAGTTTGTTTTTTAAGTAAGTTTTAAATTTAAAAAATCAAAATTTGTTGGGAATTACATGTAATAAAAGCAATGTAGACATTGACTGATATTTAAAAGACTCATCTCAAGTGTAAATCAGTTTCAAATCAGTAATGTTTGCATAAAACAAACTTATTAAAGAATTAACTTCTCTGATGAAGAATCATAGCCAAAATCCAGGAACATTGGCTCTTAGTTCTTTAACAGAAAGCAAGGATCTGAAAGAAAGAAATATAGAAATTCAGTTCTCAATTAAGAGGATAAAATCAAATACATGAAAAATAAGTAAATCTAAATTGGAGAAAAAATTTACAAAACGAAAGTGGTGAAATTAATTTCTTTTTTTTAATCAAAGCCAAAAAACCACCAAGTCTACATCTTGAAATTCTTGCCATTTAAATAATGACGATTTTTTGCGTCATTTCTTCTGATTAGTTTAGAAATTGAGGAAAGAACATTGATATCAGTAAAAACTTCAAAGTACTTACTGTCGTTAACATTGTTGCTGTTTGCATTGTTCAGATAAGCTAATGTTAAAGAAGTTCATTATTGTCACGCAAACAATTCTTACCACTGAAAATAGTAGTGTTTAGAAAAGGAAAAAAAATCCAATCCAGTTCAAACACAATGGTCTTGTCAAATAAAGAAATATTGTTGTATTTAGTGAAATAGTTCTATGGTCATACATGGGAAAATCAAGTAATCTGCCATTGAATATATCTGTCTGTGTTTCTTGTTGCTAATTTCTTGTGTCTCCTCTGATCTCAACAAAAGGTCCTACTATCTTATCTTAACTCAAAAGCAGTAGAGGGAAAGGTTTTAAAAATGACTCTAAAAACCGCTGCGTATGGTGCTTCCTTCCTGCATGTACAGCTTAGTATTCTTCATCAGACATTTTTTTGGAGCCGCTACTGATGCTGCAGGTTAATGTGTGTCTAGTAATTGTTTTCTTTGCCACACTGATAAAATTAATTAGGAAATATGGCGCCAACCTCTTCTTTGTGCCATTTTTGTTTTTTTGCGTGTTTGAAAGTTATTTCAGAGTAACTTTCAATTGTTCAAAGTTTATGTCCTGAAGAATTTGTCATCAGTAATACCTGGTGGCCCATCAATGGGGCTTCATTTGTAATACAATCACAACTGCTCACTCATTCCCTCTTCCTCTCTGTCTGGTTCACTCAGCCTTTTGATATTTATCATGACTTTCACTCAACCTTTCACATTTATGCATTCTTTGTTTCATTTCACTACACAACCATTCTCTTTCAATCATTTATTGTCAAATTCAGTCATCTACTTGATCTTACACACACACACACACACGCACGCACACACACACACACAGTTGTGTACACACACTATTTCTCATTAAATTAGTTTAAATATAACCTTCTGTGGTCTTCTTTATAGATTCATTTGAGGTGGCAAAAGAACATTCTTATTTACCTTATAATTTACTTTTTTGAGTCAAAGAAAATATTCCAACTTAAACAGAAAAATGTCTCATTGGGACATGACTTATATACATGTAAAAATACTAAAAATATATAAACAACAACTAATTTGTCAATTAATTATTTATACATTATATTACTATATTACATTTATATTATACTATATACTAATAATATATATTATACTATAAATGAGTAATATAATAATATATAATATATATACTTAAAATAATATATATACTATCCTTCAGAGCATTAGCAATCATAGCTCTTCACAATTTTTTGTCCTCTGTAGCTTTTAATAAATTTTATCTTTTTGTTATCTCTCCTAAATCTGGTTTTGCCATCTATTTACTCAAACTTGCTAGGTAGATTATGTAATCTTTTTCTTTATCTTTGTTGCCTTCAATCTATCCTGTGAGTATCAAATTTTCCAAGCTCTCTTTACTTATTATATATCCCTGAAATTTCAACTCCCTCTTTCTGATATTAAGAATAACTTTCCTTTTTGTTTTGATTTTCTCTAAAACTTCCTTGTTGCTCACATGTTCAGTCCATGCTATTCTCCGCATCCTTCTGTAGAACTATATTTCTGTCCCTTCAAGTCTCATCTTCATTGTTGAGGAGGTTGTCCAGCATTCACTGGCAATTAGGTAAACTGATATTACCTAACAATTCAGTACTCTTTTCTTCATTACTAATGAAATTTTCTTGTTTCTTAATACTTTGCCTAGCTTTAGAAAGGCATCTTATGCTATCCTAATGCACCTTCAGATTTCGGTGTTACACTCTCTGTCCTGTTAAAACATTTCCCAGATATTTACATTTTTGTACTTGTTATTATTTATTTATCTATTGACTCTGCCAAATGATTGCTAGTTAAGAATTTATTATGTTATCATGATTTTTGTAAAAACAAAATTAATTGGTTGATTTGTTTTTTATGGCTTATCAACCCTTTATACATTATTCAAAGCCAAAAAATATTTTATATTGTAAGAGTTTTCTTTTTAGATAATTTAGCAATCTAGTTTAGTGATACAAGTCTTACTAATTAACCCATAGTTGTCGAGAAGAGGTGAATTACTACCTTTCCACATAAGTGACTATAATAAACCCATAGGGAATTGGAACTCGGTTCTCTGATTAACAGTTTTGAGCTATTATCCATTACATCATGCACGTATCCAAGCTTACAGCACCAGGTATTCCTAAGCAGTCACCCATCTATGTACTAACCAGGCTCAACATTCCTTAACTTCAGTGATCATATTGGAACCAGTGTTTCAACTTGATTTGGCCGTAAGATGAATTGGTGTAACATTTAAGATCTCTTTTGTTAGATTTTGTATATGAATCTCACCAACAAAATGGATGATCAGATTTTGTAATATTTTGTTATTGCTGTCACATGCTTGACTACAGTCCTAATTTTGCTACAGATTTTAAAAGGTGCCTCCATATCCCTTACATATGGTTCAGTAATGCATGAAGCGGCAAGGGAGTGTATTTATAATGTTTTCAAGCACTGCAAGTTTTAATTGAGGGTAATAATTAGTGAAAGCGGCATAGAATCTGCTCAGTTCCATTAAGATCTTCAGGCTGATTTGGATCTTTTTGTGTATGATGGAAACAGGTCAAGCTTAATTCATCTGTGGAGATGAATGCCAAATTAATAAAGATGAGAAGAAAAAAAAAACTTTTGTTTATTTTCTATTAGTATAGTTGATAAACTCTTATTGTTTGTCTGCTAGAAGCAATCTAATAAAGGACATTCAGATAATTTTTAATACCCACAACTACAGACAGTCACAAACAAAGAGAGGGAGGGAAATGAAAAACAGATTACTTTTTGGCATTTCGATTTGTTTGTAGCCAGAAAAACTTTAATGTCTAAATTGAACAAATCTTAACACTTGTCAGATATGATTCTGAGCAAGCAGTTCTTTGAATAAATTAGAAATGCAAGGGGAAGCAATTTTTTTTTCAAATGCTGATTGTTTAAATTAAAATAGAAGAAAAAAGATTCTTAAAGTAACACACTGTTCAGCTGATTCACCTTGACTGAAGTTATTAAAATTCTAGAGAACAATAGAAAATTACAATTGGTCGAAATCTCATTAAGTGGATCTTTTGTGACGTTTTGTTTAATCTTCGAAAATAATTTAACAATATGCCATTTTCAAATCCAACTCGAGAATTAAAAAATGGTAATGTAAAAATTGGCTTTTACCAATGGGAGCATCTTCGCTGAAGATATGGTAAATTAAAAATTTTAAACAATTATTTTAATTTTTTTTTAAAACAAACAATGGTCTTTGACAATAAAAACATATTTGTGTCATGTTCATTTTTTTGCTGGTATCAAGATTAAAATAATTAAAAATCTGTGATTATGATGAGATGAAAACATTATTTAAAATGAAGCACTGTGAAAATGAGCTCAAATACCATTTTTCTGGTTTTTCAGTGTCTGTCAGTCTATTATAATGTGGACATTTATTACAGTTACAGAAAAAATTATTTTTAGAAAGGAATATACATTATATAATATTTATAAAACTATTATATAATATTTATAATTAAGCTAACACAACAAAGGTCTTGAAAATGATTTATGAAAGTGTTAAAATTTAAATTAGAATTTCTCTAACATAGAATTCAAGGTTGAAATTAAAGATGATTCATTTCCTTTTCGTATAATGGAATATTTCATATAGTGATTCGTATTTGCAATGATGAACTAAGATAATTTAAAACTTCAATTCTAACTTATTCAATATTAAGTTGAATTCATTTTAAAAGAAAAACCACATACTGTAGTAGAGCATAGGGTGGTCCTGGATATCCATGTTGGGATGGCATCCAATCAAAGAGTGAAATAATAATTTAGTTTATATTTAATTTGAATAAATTGTTTATTTCATGTTTCATCTGTTTTTACCTATTTAAAATGTCTTCCTTTCTCACTTTTCTCAGTACTAAGTCCTGTAGACCTCACTACTTGAGTCTTAGGGTTATATAATCAATTAGTTGGCCCCAGGCATCACCAAACATCACCAAACCTCACTAACCACATAATAAGATGGTTGCATTTTATAAGATTCTACTCAAAAACATAGATGGGCTGGGTATGTCTCTTCTCTCAGAGACAACAGGTAAGCTATTAAAGTGACAAAGTGGACACCAAAGCAGTGAAAATGATATAATGGAATATGCATACACCTAAGTTCCCCCTCACTGGAATATGATTGGCTGGTGTCAGTCATAAATACAGACGGACGTGTAGGTACGACAGAGTTTAAGTCTATGACAATACCCATTGGACTACGCCATTGGCTACACCTATTACCTGCAACTACAATGAGTACCAGTCAATTACTGCTACTATGTACTATTTGGTTACAGTCGCCAACACCACTTAGCTACTTCGATCAAATATATCCCTTTCCGGGACATATCAGAAAAAGAAATAGAATGTGACCAAAAGTAAGATAATATGATGATCTGATCTGATACCTCAACTCCACATGGCCCAGTATGGCCAGAGATAGAATGTGGTGGAGGTCAATCAGGGAAGGATTCCTACAACAGGAGTAAGAAGGCCCGGATTTGGCCATTTCTGGTTGTCATCATTATTTTATTACTTTTTGTAAGTGTTCATAGCAAACTGAAAGTGAAAAGATATATCTATATTTTTGTGATATTGGCTTAAGTTGGCAGCAAATTTACTTGTAGCACCAATAAAGAAATCAATAAATGTTAATTATCTGGATGAAGTCTGAAGGTGTTTCTGTTCATTTTTCATTAACTTGTAATAATAGGGAAGGCATGAATCTATTTTGCCTTGCACTCTGTCTTGTCATTATCCCAGTGAAGAATAGGACTTTGGGCTCACCATATTACTGCTGTGGTTTCTATAACAATGAAAGTAGTTTTTTTATGGATTGGAGTTGCTAGTGAGCAGCCAACCACTTTTGAATTCAGAATTCTTCTTTCCCTAGACTGCTTGCCATCCAAAGTTAAGGGCCCAGTTTTCTTGGCTGTTAGTATTCAGCTAGGGATAGAATAAATACATTCATAACTTTCCAAGAGTATTTATGTGAGGATTAATGCAATGGTCCCAGTTGGAATTTGAGCTGTATATGCCAGGCACCATTTTCTGCATTTATAATCACTATGTTACATGCATATCTTATCCCAGTAATAGTAACAATATGATAAGAAAGCTGTTATCCTATTTTTGAAACCAATCATAAAGGCTGTTATGAATTATTTTTCTTCAGAAGGTTGGAGCTGCAGGGTTTTTCTATCTTTTGGTAGCCAGTACTTCCATGTATTTATAAAATCTGAAATACACACCTATGTAAATTCTTGTCAATATCTAAGTATGTTTGCATGAGTGTTTTTTTTTTTAATCATTTCACCCCAAGCAAGGCAATAATGCCATTAAGACACAACAGGGGGGAGAGATTGAGAAGAGACTTTAGTGAGGAGAAAGAACAATTAGAAAATTAATTCAGAAAATATCTCTGACAAACTTATTTCTGATAATTTAATGTAATTTACAATGCAATTAAGTGATATCATATTTTAGTTTAGTTTCATAAATTTTGTAATTTTTTACATTGTCCATTTTTTTTTTTTTTACAATTTCCATCAAAGCCAGTTGGCCTTATATAATTATATTGCAGATGAATTTTTTTATAGATTGATTTAAGACTGTTGTGAAATCCTAAGTTCTTTGTGTTACTACTTAATGCTCATGTGTATTTACTCCTCTTCTTAAACTGGAGTCATTATATAGCCTTGATATTCCGGATATGTCAATTAGTTAATCTACATATCACTACATCTCCCTGTAATGAAGGGGTTTTGTATGCCTTGTTTTTCTTGTGCTTCTATCATTTCATTTTTAGGGTTTCTTTCTGTCTCCCAGTATCTTAAGGTATTTCTTTCTCTGGGAGATCTTGATCAACCTCATTTACTCTCATTCTCATGGGCGTATTCATGCATTGACTGGTCTTCCTCAGTTTCTGAATCATATTGTTCCTCTTGATCATCACTATATTCGTTTTCAGACATTTCATTACTTGAGGTATTCATGGATATCTCTTTGTCAGACATTTCATCCTGCAAGGGTAGGTTTCGTTTTTGTTCAGCACTATCATTTTCCCTCATTACAAAAATATATTGAAAGAAAAAAAGGATGAATACAAAATAGAAATATATATTTCAAATTTTCTTAAAATGTATACCAATTATATGTTAGCTTAAAATCAACAGAGATTCTATCAAAGAGCATTTGCATGAATTAAGAAAACAAAATGTGACAAACTTCATCTGCAAAGCTGTAGGATAATTGTTGTGAAGTCCTAAGTCTTTCGTGTTACTACTCAAAGCTCATGTGTAGCAGCTCATCCTTCTAATCAGAGTCATTATATAGCCTGGGTATTCCGCATATGATAATTAGTTAAGCTATAAATCACATTATTGTAGAAATATAAATTTCAATTTAATAGGCAAAAATGATTTATAGAATAAAACTTATATATTAAATTTTCTCCTTCATTTATTTGTGTATCTTGTTATTTTGCAAACATGGAAACCCAAAGGTATATAGGGATAGCCAAGGAAGTATTTCAAAAGATAAGCACAGTATTAATAAATAGAAAAATTCTGCTAAAAACAAGGAAAAGCCTGCTGAATTACTCTGTGATATCTGTCCTCCTGTATAGCAGTGAGTGCTGGACAATCTACTCAAACATGAAGAGGAGACTTGAAGCAACAGAAATGTGGTTCTACAGAAGGATGCTGAGAATACCATCAACCAAACTTGTGAGCAATATCAAAGCTTTGGAGAAAATGGAAACAAAAAGGAAACTAATACTTAATATCAGGAAGAGACAATTGAGGTTTCTGGGGCATATAATTCGGGAGGAGGGCTTGGAAAATCTGATACCCACAGGACATATAGAGAGCAAGATGGATAGAGAAAAGCAATGCATTACATATTTGGTGAGCTTGAGTAAATGGTTGACAAAATAGGGCTTAGGAGAAATAACAGAAAAAAAATGCTTATTAAAAACTAAAAGGAGCAGGAAGTTATGGAGAGCTGTGATCACCTATGTTCTGATGGGGCAGGACACATAAAGAAGAAGACTTTTGCAAATGTTATTATCTTTAAAATAGGGTTGTGAAGTTCTGTTTAGAAAACAAAATTTGGTATCAGAAACATTAAATGCTGTATCTCTATCTATAAAAGGAAGGATGTACGTGTGTGTGTATGTGTGTAATGAATGCACG